AGGTTCGAACGAGGCTACGGGAATGTGAGAACACGTCAGAATGGCGATGACCTCGGGTGTATTCCTGTGAGGTTACGAGATTAAAATTTCGACGATGGTCTTCTGGCTTGTAACGAAGGCCGTGTGGACTTCTCGGTCGATACCGACGTTTGGGAGGAACCTGCCGCCTCCATCCACCTACGAAATGACGCGACGTGATTGCCCAATCGACATTAAGCCGCTTTTGTTCTCAGAGCAGCGTCGCATTTCTGCCAGGGGTCGCACATGGTCTCTGCCCCATTTGCATGAGCTGACCCATCTCCAGTGGCCTGAGTCACAGAACTCTGATAATGAGCGAGGAACCTTCTTCTGTTGTCTGCTCACTCGGTTACACTCGACGGGATTTGTTCTACCACGAGAACAAAGTTCGACTTTGTTCTATTTAACGTCGATTTATCAAGTGATGTAATGGCTACCTTCATAATCTGTACCAAATTCTGCCTTCTGTGATCAAATCGAGGCGGACACAAAAATTAATACGGGATGATGATAATATTAAAATGTATCTTCAATAAATATGCCTACTGTATGCCCAAGATAGGTTCTGTGTTCACGTTTTGAGACGCAAATGTTGTTAAATGAATCGATCTATCGATATTATTCACGCGAATCGTATTGGGCCTTGGAACACTACGTTTTGCATACAAATGACGTTCGGAGTCGACGAAGTGTGCACAGAACTTTCACGAAAGACATTTCAATGCCGAAGGAGTTGTTTTTAAAACTTCAGAACGAAATTTCTTTTCCACCAGCGCGATCAGTTTTTCTGGTAATGTAAATTACTGTGACATTTTCAACTGTCGTCGTAAAACTGTCATGGCCTACATTATTTAAACGTGCGCAACCGAACTGCATCAGATGAAGCCTCCGTGAAAGCGCAAAAATCGATTTATCCTTCACGTATAAAAGGTAAATCGAATTAGCATACATTCACACGAACATGCATATAAATTAGTTTACTTTCATTCAAAACGCTTGCCGGAAGATCCTAGATTTGGCACAGCCAAAACATCTACACCTGACACGAAAAGTTTATTTAACAATGGAACTACAGACCTGTACGAATTAGTTGTTCATTGTTGTAATGTCAGGACAAGGAAAAAAAAAGTCTGATAAATTTATTCTAATCCAACACACTGTCCGTCCACTTTAACGTACAAGCTAATCAAGAAATTCGCTATAGTATCAACAATAACCCATCACTAGACGTATATCATATCCTTCAGTATTACTTTTTAATAATATCCTCAATTCATGTTTTCCGAATAAAACATTGTCAACCCTTTCATGCGTGCTACATGTTCTGCCCATATCAAACGTTTCCCCAATGGAACTTGGGAGCGACCAGACATGACGCCATTAGACCTCCATTTTGTTAATTTCGTGCGAGGTAAACACAAATAATGCGAAATTATGCTAGGTAAATAATTTTGACAGTGTTTGTAGGAGAGCGTGTCAAAGGCTTAATCTCCAATTAACTTGCGCTAACCTTCTTGTTAATAAACCAGCAGCTAAATAAAAAAAGAAAGACAGAAGAAGATCGAACCGCGTTCCTGGACTCGCGTTTCAACTCGTCTGTTTTCGAGAATTAATACAGTACCAAAAAAAAAAAAATACACGCCAAGACTTGGATTCGAACCCGCGTATCGTGGCGTGTAGAAACGGAGCACCTGTCCGGACGAAATCTCTCCTACCCGGACATCAGCCGACGGAAACAGGACTCGGCCACTACGGGCTCTGTTACCAGCAAACAGCGGCTGATGCAACATCACACAACCAAAAAAAAATTAAATTTTCTTCCGCAGTGCTGCTGACCGATTCAAACCGGAAACAGAGCTCATGGAATCCTTGAACAGCAAAAACCAAGGTCTCTCTCATCACAGGACAATACCCCCCCCCCCCCCCCAGCACCCCGACCAACAATTACAAAGCTTGGCCGTGTGACCAATAAAACGCGTGACGAAAGCGATCACCTGTTTTGACCGTCACCTTATACAAGTACGAAATCTTATCGAGATGTGTAAAGATTAATTATCAGCTTCTTTGAAAGTTAAGTGCTTTTCTGAACTGCGTGTTTCCAGACGCAGAACGTGACTGGTTCACGCCAGTTTTAAGGCAGCAAATGTCTCTCCTCCTTTGTGACATGTTCAAGGACGATTCTCACAAAAAAATTAACTCGCGGATTTCGGTGTTAAAGAGCACGGACAATGAATTATTTATCTTCACCTTTCCAGCACTTTGTTTAATTAAGTTCAGACCCTCGGCTGTCACATTTTCCAAATAATGACACGAAACACCCGTTCTCCGAGACGATGAGGTCAGGTTGACCCCGGAGCCCTTAACCAGTCCCTAGATCGCGGTTCCTGTTTTTACGCTGGCAGGGCTCTCTCTCGCTGGTAACACAACTCATAACTCAATTCCGTTCGCCCCAAATCCCACCACTGAACATGATCCTTAATTCCTTCAATCCAATGTACGAAACATCCCACGTAAAATTGTCCTCCCATTTCTCCCAGTCAGCAGGGAAAGTAGTGAAAGTTGTCGCAAAGCTGCAAAAACATCGCGGAAGAGTACCGCGTACGCTGAACGTAAATCGGGACGGACTACGACGACAATTTTAAGAGCGTCAAAATGGTGACCACTAGAACCGCGCACAGTTGATAATTAACAATCTGCAACACTTGTTCACACACCTTGATTTGTCGGGCTGTTGGAGTAAATAAAATTACGATGTGCAATGTTGGCTCAGATAAAAGCCGGGCTATCACATCCTCTTGCAATGACGCAACTCGGGCACACGAGTTATGATTCACGGCGTATCCACAGTTTCAGCCTTGCGTTCTCGAAGCTTCGGTCCCTGTCTTGTACAAACAGCAGCTATAGTATTTCGCTGTGTCGATTTGCGTCTGTTTTCCTTTCGAATCAGGTGAGGCAAATTGCTTTTGCCTTGCCAAAACAACTCACAATGACATCCGCAAGGTGACTAAATCTCGTTGTTTACGGCAAAATCTCAATGAAAGGTGAAAGCTGATCGTTGCGTGTTACACAGAAGTTGAATTAACTTCCTGGTTTCAAACGACGAAACGGACTGGCTGGCTGATCAATACACGAGCCACGGTGTCCAAACAGACTGATCCCGTGGTCACACCTGACTGTTCTGATCTCAGGTTTGATTTATCTCATTCTAGTCTTTCTGATTCGACAGCAATGAAACTCAGTCCGCCCAACTTCACATTTTCTAAACGTGTCCGTTTCGATTTCAAAATCGAGTGTTGCACAGATCCATTGTTAGATATCTTTCTATCAATTACTTCAAAAATACACTGTCAGAAAGCCCAAAAAGTCGACAACGCGCAGAAACAAATCAAAACATAAGTACGATTTTCGTCGAAAACTTTCCAAATGCCGATGCCGATACGAAGATGGCTGTCTTCCGGCCCGTAGCGTCGCGTAGTCTCGTACAAACCCAGAAGGCAGCCATCTTCTTACCACCGTGACAACCTCAAACACCACTTAAAAGCCTCTATAATGTGCATTTCGTAATACGTATGTCTAACAAAAGTTAAAGTTACATTCTTGCTTTGCATTTTCGTTTCTAAGTCGGTTTCGCTTCATTCAAATTCAAGTGAACATTATAATTAATTCTATACTCTCGAGGCCGCATTAATGTTCCCACAAAGTTCTCCATACAATCAAGACTCAGTTTTCAAAAGGCCTTCATGCATTTCCCAATCTGGGTGCAGTATAACACGCGAAACTTTTAACATCTGGGTCAGTGAACAGAGCGCATGTGTACACGAACTCGTAAAACACGCAATTTCATAAAATGCGTTGTTTTTTCAACCGCGTATCTGTCGTTGGTCTTGATGTTCACTTATCGTAGATACAAGTCTACTGACAGCAAAATCGATCAAAAAGCAAATACTGAAATCAATTAAACTACCCCACGATAGAACACTTTCCTCCACTGCTTAAGAGCAACACACTTCATGTCCGATAAGTAATCTTGTAAGGATGAAATTCAATTTGGGCTGAATATAGAACAGAATTACGCAGTATGAGGACGGACAACACGGACGGAGACTTTCCCCCAAAGATTAAAGTGGATCTGCTATTACCAAATTTTATTTAAATCTATTTTCGAAATAACCTATACATGGGTAAGCCATTAAGAATTCATTTGAAGCAGTTTCCACGCCAGTGAACAACGACATTTTAAATTCAAATGCTTTTCTAAACAGTTTCATAAAAGCAGTGAATGTGTCAGACCTGTTTTGCTGCTGCTGCTTCTTTGTTACACTGTTGATACAATAAAAACAATAATTCCCCGATTTTTGAGTGTGCTGTAATATACTGTTGTTATTGTCGTCAGCAACGTTTGCAACTGTATTATGTTTCTTTAGAGTCTTGCTTCTTACACACTGAAATCCTTTCGGAATGGCGATTTCTAAGAACGTCTGTTTTATCACACACATAATTTATAACTCGTTTCTAAAACGGTATTAACCAAATTGGCCTGTAAACTTCAATGGATATCATAAACAATGGCTCAATTGAGAAACAGCAAATACACCGCGAAGGCCAGCATTCACGGTATGGGAACTTGACTGACCTACTAATAATAAAGCAGAAATTTAGACAGTTCACAGGACTGTAAAGCTATTCTCAAATCATTACCAAGAAGTTAAACTCGTGTGGTATCTAAAATTTAATTTCGGGATAAAGTCTGTAACATAAGTTATTACAACTTAACCCTATGTCATTACGTAGATTAAAAAAACAACTAACCTCTCTCTCTCTTCATAACGATAAATTCCTTTCCATGGCTAAATTTTAATATAAAACGCCTTTTTCACGTCCCAAACGTTTCGAGGTAGGGAAAATATAAGTAGTAAGTCCCCACCAGAACCATTTTGAAAACATGGTCCGAAGACAAATAAAATTTATTGTAATTTATTTACCTGTTAGTTCAGAACGTCCTTGCCAGGCTGATGCTTCGTTCTGGTAATAAATCCTGAACCACAAAATCACAGGTCACTCACTCTAACCTCTAAAATCGATCAAAACGTCTTTACAAAAGAAACAAATTGAACTAAAGCAGCACAAACACGCAGTGTGCGTCCCACTAATTCGTAACCTCACAATCTCCTTTGTGAAGAAAAATGGCTGCCCGTCATAACCTTCGTGAAACACTAAAACGATTGAACTGAAGCCTGTAGTTAAGGAAAAATAAACTTCCAGGTGTACTGAAAGCAAATTAAAATACAATTGGGCTAAATATCATTCACTAGTACATGTTCGACTGTAAAACTTTGCAAAACTCCAGCTTTCTGTCAACTTCCCAAACCACACTTCATCACGCATCTATACACATTCGAGTCCTACTTCAAACTGCTGGCAAAAATGAATAGCCAAGCCATATGTTCAGCACGCAGGCGCATTCGGTTCTCACGGCCCGTTCTTCTCCACCCGACCCCTTCCAGTGATACAACGAACCAGTTATTTGTAACAGCTGGCGGGTCACGTGTTCACAGAGTACCAACCCAAAGATAACTCGTTTGTTCTACGGCACATATCACAGATGAGCCTGGAGTAAAGGTCAATGTTAGTTTTCAGCTGCAAAATTGATTGTGACGCTAGTGTAAATGAGATGATAATTACTATCAGCAGAAAGTATTGACGCGTGAAAATGCCCAACAAACTCCAAGGAGCAGAGTCCTTTTGGAGATGTCAACAGTGTGCGAAGCTAGAGAAGAAATTCCCTGTCCGTATTAAGCCCGAAGGTTCATTACCGTGCTCACAAGAGCCCGCCACCAGCCAGATGAACCCAGTCCCAACTCAACATGCTACTTTCCGGGTGAGTTCATTCTTCACTTCCGACTTTCCAGCCGAAAGTTTCTGACGTCATCTATGCGTGCTACATGTCTTCTTGATTTTATCATTCTAATATATTAAGATGACTGTCTTCTGGGATGTTGCATCGTGTAGTCTGGTTGACCGACGTTCCACCAACTCTGAAATGTCGGTTAATTTCTACCAGAATTCTATCACAATAAATAAAGACTGAACGGGTTATTTCTCACGTTTATGTATTGTTGACAAATTATAACGTAAAACATTTTGCTTCATATTAATTGCAATTCTTCTGGAGTATCACATTTATTCTAAAATAATATTATATTTCAGATTATCCTTAAAAGCAATCCAATCCCAAAGTATTACTTCTATCTGTATAGACAGAATAATACAAATCATAAATCATTAACTAACATAAATTGTGCATGGTCGCCGACAGTACAGAGTCAAACTTCCCTTCTTTGACAGCAACTAAAGTTACTTTACTTTAACTTTATCCAGAGTAATTTTAATCGGAAAAATTCGTGCTGATTTACTCACATAATTCCCACAACAATCAGCGATTATTTCCTTAATCAGTGTTAACCAGTTGATCTTTGAAATGGTGAAGTGTGGTGTTTTCTTCGCGGTACGGACTCAGTTTTTTTAAATATTAATCAGACGAACTATGATTCTCACAATAAACAGCGATTATTTCTTAAACAGCGTTAACTAGTTGATCTTTGTAATGGTGAAGTGTCGTGTTTTCTTCGCGGTAAGGAATGTCAACAGATATTTGTTTACTCGGCATTGATGTGGAACACAACAATGCCGAGTACAACACAACAATGCAGAGTAACAAATAACGCTTCACAACAAAGAAATCAAAAAATATCAACCCAGTCGCATTATCACTGCTCCAGAAGCAGCACATCGCATTCTTAAGAATTGACTAACAGTTGGCCTAAAACATCAGGAAAGTGAAAGAAGAAGTTATCAAGTATTTGAAGTACCAACTCCAACAACTCCAACAAGGTAAACTGATACTCATTCGATATATTACGATTACGAAAACTATTATGAAAACTGACTTTATGATCGATTTTAAGACGAGATTTGCAGGGGTAGGGCTGTACGTAGAAAGTTGACTGACCAAGAACAGATGGCCTCTGAACAGCGACGTAAAGAACTACAACATCAGACATATTTAATAAATAAAGAAAAGCGAAGGGAGATTTACATTGATAAACGAGACCA